ATAATAGTTGGATCAATGAGTCAGATATGTAATGTGCAGAGATATTTTTTTTATCTACTTGATGTGTATCATTTGTGAAAAGGAAATAAAATTGAAAAAAAAACACAAAATTTTTGTATATTCATATTTATTTTTCACCTTAATCCTAAATATACAATGTATGAAAATATATATATTTATAATTATATACTTGGTGTAGTATACCCCCAATGTAAGGTATCTATCATGTTCGTAGAAATCATACGCATAAGCGATCCCAGCTCAATGCTAATTTCTTCTGACGGATTGTATGCACCTCATGTTTCTTACTCCGGATCAAATATTGATCTTTCACAACATGCTCATTATTGAGGAGACAGTTCTTATAGTCATTAAAAGTGATTTTCCTGAGTGTAGCAGCTTTAACATCCTTAGCTTTCTTCTTAGCTTTTTCGTCATCCAACATCCTGAATGCGTATTTCAACCATGATTTTACCATTATTCTCATCCTTCATAAGACCCAATACTTTCTTGTTTGCTAGCGGCATTCCATAAACATTATCCTCTTTGCAGTCACAGAGGTATCGAACATGTGTATGTCTCGTTTAACACACTTATAGATATTGGGTACTTTGAACAAATGNTCGAACATGTGTATGTCTCGTTTAACACACTCATAGATATTGGGTACTTTGAACAAATACAATAAACTATCTGTATCTGTGTACATCAATTTCGCGGTGCTCCCAAATTGAGTTTTGACATAGTTGTAATGGAAGTCATACACAACCGTTTTCGATAAATCGAGGATGGCAAATCCAACGTAGATGGGTTTCTTGAAGTACACTGACGTCCGATTCATTTCAATGATAACCATAGCATCATCGAAGATCATACAGCTATGAAAATTAGGTTTTGCTATCAAAGCTTTTGCTCCATACCGACCACACTAGTGTGTAACGAGCTTAATATCTTTCTGTTTTCTAACATTCTCCATCGTTTTTCCGAATACAGCATTATTCCTCAATTTGTAAAAGTTTTTTTTGAATTCATTCTTTGATGCTTGTCTCTTCAGAGTATTCAGTTCAATGTAGGGTTTCAACCAAGGCTCCTGCTCGAATTTCAAAATACGATGAATGTGTTTTAGTTTCATACCAAGTGCTGTGTATTGTTTCAAGTTTCGATAGTGTATGACATACTTCTCCTTCGGGAAAAGTGTTGTCACTAATTTTGCATGTTTGCTTCCTGGTGGGATTAAATGCTCTGGGCAGAGAGGGAAATCCTTATGCAAATCATGTAGTCCGTTCGGATATTCCAAATCAACTTCAAGAATGTATCCAATTGGCGAGTCATCAGGAATATTCAGAATATCCACAGAAGAAGGATCAATCCACTCAAATGAATCACGAGGCAGGCTCATACACATAGCAGCCCCATACAAATTGTTCACATCATAATACATTAAATATGATGTTTCTGTAGATGAATCATAGAGTTTCTCCCCCATAAATGGATTATTAGCATGAGCATATCTATTTGCACACTGAGATACCCCACCTCTGATACCTTTTTCAATGAATAAAATCATTTCTGTATCTGTAAGAAGCTCCAAACTCACCTTTGTATGCTTCAACATAGCATCGAAGGCTAAACCAGGTGCTGTATAATAATGCAAAGGGTCCAACTCATATGTAGAGAGGCAATTGTGACGGAAATTTTCGAAAATGTCAGCTAGCAATAAGACATCAGTCTGTAGATAAAGATCTGAATACTCCCCCAATGTTTTAATATCAAATTGTCTCCACACACTCAGAGCATGCTGATAATCTTCATCGGATACATGCTCATCCATCAGTTTTGAATAAAACGCTTCTTTCTCTGGTAATTTCGTTTCATCCAATTTACTCCAATCATCAATATATTCATAGGGGAATACTCCCTTTCTGCACAGAAGATTGAATTTGATGGGATCTGGTTGGTATTTTTTAGTGATTTCTTTATGCACATCATCAAGATAATTTGCTAATTTTTGAAGACTGCTACCCATAAATCGGAACGAATCGATGAATCTCAAATTCACGCAAGTCCCTGGGATCCATTTAGTGAATGAGATATAACGTTCTTTATTCACAGGAAGAATTTTTATATCCCCCGGAAATGATGTTGCGAAGCTGCGAATGATGAAGTGGGCATCATAACCAGATAGATTGTGGAATATGATGGGGATGATATGAGAGTCATGATATGCAAGATTACAGCCGCGATGTGCTGCCCCACGATATTTTCCTCNCTTTCTGTTTTCTAACATTCTCCATCGTTTTTCCGAATACAGCATTATTCCTCAATNCTCCATCGTTTTTCCGAATACAGCATTATTCATCAATTTGTAAAAGTTTTTTTCGAATTCATTCTTTGATGCTTGTCTCTTCAGAGTATTCAGTTCAATGTAGGGTTTCAACCAAGGCTCCTGCTCGAATTTCAAAATACGATGAATGTGTTTTAGTTTCATACCAAGTGCTGTGTATTGTTTCAAGTTTCGATAGTGTATGACATACTTCTCCTTCGGGAAAAGTGTTGTCACTAATTTTGCATGTTTGCTTCCTGGTGGGATTAAATGCTCTGGGCAGAGAGGGAAATCCTTATGCAAATCATGTAGTCCGTTCGGATATTCCAAATCAACTTCAAGAATGTATCCAATTGGCTAGTCATCAGGAATATTAAGAATATCCACAGAAANACAATCATGACCTCGATGCGTTTTGAGTTTTGATCGAGAATCATCAAAAGTACAATGCGTGTAGTATGCGAAGTTATGGGCAATATGATGATCATTCTCCCCCTCCGGTTTTATCAGAGATTCTAGATCTGCGTAAACTGCAAATGGAATTTTTTCTCCATGCTTGAAATTTTTGAATTTTAATATCTTATCCTTCTCATCAGGTATAATCATTCATACTTTGTTCAGATTAGTACAATCTTCTCTATGTTTCTCGAACGAAGCTTAATGTCTGAAGTGACAAAGACAACGATCACATAACCATGTGAATGACTTTGCTTTGGAGATTTGATTGCTGACTAGTAGTGACAAGTTGCGAATCCAAGCGAAATGAAAGGTTGATTCATCAGACAATTCCGTATTGCTCTCCACCATCAATAAATGGATTGTATCTCGACTTGTAATCTTCTTACTCAAGTATAAAGGAACTATGGTATTCTTGCGAGCATGCGATTCTAGGCCATAAACATGAATCCTCAAATCATTCATCTCCTCAAACTTGGGAATTTCTTTGAGAGTCATTGGGAAGGTTAGACCTTCATATTTGAGTACAGTGCGAAAATGAGGATATGAACCGAGTGAGCAGGCATTTTTACATGTCGGATGAAGAGCGGCCGTAACTGCCCACAAAAAACAAAATTGATCGAAATTTTTTATATTCACAACAGCTTTCCTAGCTTGGATGTCATTTGGAAGCTCAGTGAATGTTGAGGCTCCACCTTTCATGGGTTCGTACTTGTTAATATTAACAACCAAATTCACTATTTCACTGAAGGTCCAGCCGGAACCCATCTCTTGAAAATCTTCCAGTTTGACAATGAAATGATCTATTATGGAATAATCAAACCAATCACTCAGGTTTGTTCCAGGCAGAATCACTTCATTTTTCGATGTGAAATGTTTCGTTTCTTCTTGAACTTCCTCTGATTTTATGATTATAAATTTACATGAAAGCACGCAATTGACCTTCACGCCCCCTACATCACTCAAAATATGATCCAATTGACGGTGAACTAGAACTTTACAATCTTGAAGGAAAGATTTGATGTCTTTATGAACCAAATTGATGACAACCCCTGTCTTGATTCGATTTTCGAAGGCAGATTGTAAATTTCTCCATTTCACTCGATTGGAAATTTTCTTCACTGATTTCTTCTTCTGCATTTTACCACCATGTTTGCTGTGATATTTAAACGCTTCAATATACCACAGTAGTTGTGCAATTGTTGCTTGAATTCCACTCATTTCACCACTGGACTTTGCATTTTTCAAGTATTTGTTCAATAATTTAATATTTCTTTCTGTTAAAGTCTTCAGGTTCTCAATCTTATCAGCATGAGCACAAGGAAGCTCATATGCTTCTCTCAAAACTCGCAATAACTTCTTTCTTTGTTCATCCATCCCAAAAGATGGAGTCGACACTAACTGGTTCAGGATGGTTCCCCACCTCTTTTATACTCAAACGATGACTCATACCATAAAGAAAAAAAGTATGATGACTCATTTGTATAGAAAAAGGTTATGAGATAAGGATCATCTCATATTTCAAATCTCGAAAACTCTAGAACTCCCCCAACGAAATTCGAGAACTCTCAAGAAGGTTCTAGACTCTCCTTCCAACCCCACCTCTTTTATACTTGAATGATGACTCATACCATGAAGAAAAAAAGTATGATGACTCATTTGTATAGAAAAAAAGGTTATGAGATAAGGATCATTTCATATTTCAAATCTCGAAAACTCTAGAACTCTCCCAATGTAATTCGAGAACTCTCAAGAAGGTTCTAGACTCTTCTTCCGATTATTCTCGAATGATGATGTCATTATTTGATAAAGTTTCCGTATATAAACCCTCGAAGAACCGCACTCTGACATCAGTTCACTAACGGCTCTCGAAGTATAGAGCTGTAGCAGAAATCCTAAGAGAAACATTGGAGCTCTTTCTGTCCATCTCTAAATCATCATAAAAGATGGACTTGTCTGCTATCAACAATATCTCCAGAAGCAGCTACTTACCAACTAAGAAGATGGTGGAACTCGAGTCGAACACAGACTACTTCATTTCTGACATTAAAACTGTTAGGACACGATTTGGATTGAGTATTGTTATCACCATCGACGCAACTTTCACCGTTTTCCTGCCAGAACGAGTCAGAAAATTTCTCCTGAGTGATGAGAAGCAACTTCAGGAGCCCGATTCCGATCGAGGTGGGCGAGTGAGACGGAGTGAGAAGTGAGAGTTGGTTCGTGAGACGGAGCGTTTTTTGGTCGAAAATGTGAGAAGCAATTACGTATGCATCCACGAGATGGCGTAAGGCGCTAATTATTGTTGTTGCTTCCCTGTCAAAATGGAATGACAGGTTAAGATTACTGTTAATGTTTGAAAATTGATTTATAACTCGATAACAGTAATTCAGCGAAAAAAAAACCAAATGCAATTAATGTAATTCATTAATTTTTATATTGTATATACTTCTCCATCCATCCGTATATATCAAGTGTTGCGGAGTACTGCCGATCTAGATTGGAGTAGAGTGATGTGATTTGTGGTCCTTGAGACACATTTGAAATTCTTCGATTATTTGAATTTATATCTACAGGTAAGTTTATGCAATTCAGTCCATCATTTTACAAGGTGATTCACCCTTTTATAAATTCTACATTGCAGTTGAATGGATCTATTAGAGCTATTATTAGATGAGGAAGACGGTTTGGAAATTTGGCGAGAAAAACAAACGCTTCGTTTTCATCGTCTGCATATACGAGACGCAGTGAACCCATTTGACATCCCTGACTTACAATTCGTTCGACTATTTAGGTAAAATATGGGACAGTTGAATTTCAGAGTATTTTTACATTCATATGAGCTTAATACTTCAAGAATTGAATCTATAGATTCACCCGGCAGGGTGCAATGTCACTCCTTGATGAGTTGGCTGGTTTTCTCCCAGAATCCACCAGGAAGGATGTCATACCCATTCATCTGCAGGTGCTAGCAACCCTGAATTTTTTATCTGGCGGTTCCTATCAACGCAAAGTTGCAGGAGATTTTTTGGCATGCATGAGCCAGACATGTGTGAGTCGCTTCCTTCATAGAGTGGTAGAAGCACTGAATCAAATTTTGCACAGATGGATTTGTTTTCCCAAAACAGATGCTGCGATCAGGCAAATTCAGGAAGGGTGAGCGATAATTCACCATGTATCGATGAATGATAGATTTTTATTAATAAACAAAGCTCTAAGGGGATTTTTTTGACTAATAGATTCCAATTTCGATGGATTTCAGCATTCAACTTAATTCATTACTTCATACTTTATTTGAACTAGTACCATGTAGATTTTATGATAATTTATAAGATTTTAGGAAAAAAAGAAAAATTATTATAGATTATACTCAGGGATAAATTGTAGAATAATTCAGAAATCTTCTTGTCATCAGCTAAAATTATCAATCAGTTGAAATCGACAAAAAAGATGGACCATTTAAATGAATGGAGTAATTGTAGTTTGTTACAGATATTTGAATGAAAAAAACTCCTTGTTATCCTGGAAACTGAATTAAAAAATTGAAAATCCTGGTCATTTTTATAAGAATAATGATAGAAAAAAATGGACTTCCTGTTACGCCAGATATTAAATTCAAAATCTTTTGCCTCCCTAAACTTTTAACTGCTCTTTCTACGTATACACTGGGGTGATTTATCATACCACCCCATTGCTATATTCACCTTGCATTCGGAACGCATCAGCAAAGTATCATATCGTATAATAAACATTATTCTATAGTTTTTGGGAGTGTGATGGTTTCCGCGATGTGATGGGCTTGATCGACTGTACGCACGTATCAATTGTGAAGCCATCCGGAAACCGAGAGGCTCATTTCATCAATCGAAAACATTATCATTCGTTAAATGTGCAAGTTGTTAGTTCAACCAGTTAATATAACCAATTAATATGTATTGCTTCTTAAACAAAATGATAAATGTAGGTATGTGATCATAAACTCCGAATCCTCACTATCAATTCCTCCCATGGAGGGAGAACCCACGACTCTCGTGTTTTTGCTTCGTCTCAATTATCAGGCTACTTGAGGGAACAGTATGAGGCAGGGCGGCGCGACTGTTGGTTATTGGGTGATTCGGGCTACCCTTTACTGCCCTTTTTGTTAACTCCAATACTTAATGCACCCGAAGGAACACCAGAACATCGATACACGAAATGTCATGCTCGAACAAGATCAACAGTGGAACGATGTTTTGGAGCGCTAAAAGGAAAATGGAGATGTATCTGTAAGGAGAGAACTCTCTACTACGCTCCAGAGTTCGCAGGTATCCCTGCGGGTTGGATTGGAAATCTAGTTTTCTATTGGAAACAGTTCATGAGTGAAGTGGTAAATCGGTATAAGTCGATTTTTATTCGAAAATGAGTTTTTGCCGGAAAACGCTTCTACATTTTATATTACATAGTCTCCAAAAACGGTTTAAGCAAAAAACGAAAATGAACCATATTTTTATTTAATTAAAAAATAGAATAAGTCCAACATTTCACGTACGAAAATTTTTAATAGAAAACCCTAAAGAATTCTATAGGAATTTCTATAGAACTTCTATTGGATTTTCTATACGTTTTATTATTATTACGCCATTTCTATTGACATGTTCGATAAGGAATATTATATAGAAAAATGTCAATAGAAAAAAAAGTCAATAGAATTTCATTTTTCTATTGAATTTTCCCACTCAAATTTTCTAAGTTTTTTTTAGTCATTTTTTTTCTTCTCTTCAAAAAAATCGAATGAAAAAACTTAGAAAATTTGAGCCGAAACAATTCTGTAGACAAAGAAATGCTATAAACTGTTTCTATATAAATATAAATAAAAGATAAAAGAAACGGCAAAAATAGGAAACAATAGTCGCTACCCAATTAATCCCCCTATAGTTTCATTAGAAATTCTCGAGAATGGCTATAGGTAGAGGGCTCAGGTTGAGTTCATTCGATTTGTTTTGAAAAAATACATAGGAAACAATAGTCGCTACCCTATTAATTCTGTTTAATAATAAATAAAGATAATTCGCTTCCCCACTTTTCTATTAAAACTCCGTGGTTTTTAGCTAAAATTTGCAATGCATGTGCTGTCCTCCATAATATGGCTATTGAGTGGAATATGCCGGAAGTCGAGCTTAATAATTTTAATGAGAATTATGAGAATGATGAAGAGGAGGATGCCAACGATGATGAAGTGGATATTCCACAAGAGATTCCGGCTCGAATTGGAAACCAACTTCGAACTGAGATCGTTGGAGTATATTTTTCCTAAACGCACAATAATTATTCACTCATTTATCACTTCTTCGGTTCAATTTTTTTTATGCTCATTCATTTGTTCTCGTCTCCTTTGACGATACTGTCAGAAAAATTGAGGAAAAACCAAGATGGCTAGGATTACAGAGACCCATAAATGGGCAATGCTCAATTTTATGAAAGTGAATCCTGAACTAGCTTTCGGTTTGGTGAAAGGCTCTAACTGTGGCTCAAAAGCGGAAATGGTAATTTATCATACAAATAAATCAAAACCAAAACTTGAAACAAAAATTGAATTCATCAGGAACATCTCAAACGAGCTTTTGCACTGACTGTCAATGCTGCATCACGAGAACCTCTTCATAAAGATGCTGACCAGGCCATGAAAGTAAATTCTTCAAATATTTTAGTTTATTCTGACGTATCGTAAGAAATNAAAACTCGTGTAATCGTCGTCTCGGGGCCAGTTACTTGTCAATTCTTTGATTACCTTCTTTATACTTTATACTCGCTTGATACATTCAGTATCAAACCGAGTTTTATTTATTCAATAACTTTTAAATTAATGATTAAAAAACAATTCCCAATAAAGTAATTATTTCTATTATCTACCCGCGTGTAATTCATCCCTAATTGAACCCAACCGCTCGGGTCCATTACAAGGCCATGAAAGTAAATTCTTCAAATATTTTAGTTTATTCTGGCCTATCGTAAGAAATGGAATTTCACATTGTTAATTATCTCGATCATGAAAAATTCTTCGGAAACAATATTATAAGACATTTTTTTACACCTGATGAAATTCAATACGAAAAAGATCTTTTGACATTTCTTCAGTTTCCCCATCCTGCAGATTATTCAACAATTGATAACATTTATGAAATTGACGTAAGGACATAGTTGTGATATTCCGGAAATGGGAAATTTTTCATCTAAAATTATCTCGCCCCGAAAATTTATTGAATTCATGCTCAAATTCTATAGGAATTCGATTGCATTTCATTACAATTCTATGAGAATTTCGTTGAAAAATTCTATGTTTTTTTTTGCATCATTTTTGTTGGATACTTTGAATAAGCAGCTCAACAGATCTTTTTCTATGAAAATGCTTAGGAATAGATTTTTTAGAGTCTTTTCTATTGGATTTTATAATGAAAATCTAATTAAAATACAACGGAAATGAACAGAAAATTTATACTTGTAAATTTTCATAAAAAAATAAAAATTTAATGGCTTTTCTTTTGGATATCTTCAATAGAAATAGCCTAAAAACAAATAGAACTTTTCATTAGAATTCAAATGGAGTCCTAATAGAATTCCAATAGAATTTCCTAATGAAATCACAAGGTTTTTCTATTGAATTTTTTTCATAAGAATGATATTTTTTAATTATTTGAAGGAATGACCGTGAATATCAGTAATGCTATTTTCATTCCGTGTTCAATTCTTAGTCTTGGAAGGATTGGAAGGGTGCAGTTCTGAAGGCTGTGGGAAAACTGAAAGGATATGCTCGAGGTACTGGGGGAGGTGAGCCACGGTTCGATAAATTCGCACTAGTCGATCAGGCATTATTGGAATTTCTGGGACCAGACGCCTATGGTATGCCCCATATTCAAGAAGGGGGTTTCCCAATGTCAAAACGTACTCTCAAGCAGAATAGCTCGAAAAGGAAAGTAATTCGACAGGGGAGTAACCGCATTGTGACGTCTGGTGCCTACAGACCACCTAATCTTCAGCGAAACCTCTTCGACTCAGTCTCACCATATACTCCATCAATGAATCATGAATCCGATGATATTCTGTTATCGCCATACCCGCTGGTGTCTCCCAGTAATGTTCGTGATGCTTGTACTAGCCAGACTTCTCCCGACAATAAATGTTCTAGCAAGCATTCGTGAATAATATTCTTTAATGTGATCAAATTGTAATAATTCTGGATTTCTCCACGACAATGAAATCGTAGAACAAAATTAACATAGGGGAAAGAAAAATTCGGTGAATTTACGTAGAATTACGTACTACGAAATTGAGAGAAGAGAAAAGAAAGAGTATGTGAGTTTGAGCTGACGTGGATTATCTAAATCTATATCCTTTCGCCTTTAATTGTCTTCACGTTGTAGGCGTTCAATTTCCACATAGTCCATTGCTAGTGCCATAGTCTCTAGTATTTTGCGACGTTCCATGTTTGCCAATAACTCAACGCGTAACTCGACTCCTTCAGTAATAAGCTCGACCATGCGACGGTTGTAAGCATTTCTTCCAGCTGCTGGCGGGTCTCCGCCTGCCACAGTATTTGCTGGGGGAGCTGCTTCAGCGGTAGCAGCTAGGGGAGGGTTGACAGCAGCTCTGTGGGGCTCTACCCCAACTGCAGCAGCAGGTACTGCTGCAGATCTCTCAGTTTTACGAGTTCTGCGACTCTCACGTGCGTTGATGACTTCTTTCCCACCTCCAATGTTCGATGAATCACCCAATCTGGTTGAAGACTTAGGTGGTCTGCCCACTTTACGTTTTTTGGCTTGTTTCCCACCCTCCAGAGAACCATCTCCGCGTTTGCGTGATGCTTTCTCAGGCTTTTTGTCGCTGAGTTTCAGTGCTACAAAAAACGAATCAGAAAATAAAGTAAGAGCTTTCATTGCAACAACATTATTTTTCTGAGGCTCAAAATTTTCCTCATAATCTGAATCAAGATAAAGTTATTGTTCCGATCCACGTAGAAAAAAATTAATAGAAAATCCCTGCAATTTCTTTGAAAAATTCTATTGGATTTCTATCGAATTTTCTATAAGTTTCTTTACCGTTTCCATTGACATGTTCGATTGGAAATATTCTATAGGAAAATTAGATAGAAATCGATTTTTTATAGGATTTCTTCGACTCGAATTTTTTTAGGTTTTTTCTGGCAAAAAAAGGCAAAAACTTATAGACAATGTAATAGAAAACCAATACAATTTTTTAACGGATTCAATAGGATTTTCAATTAATTTTTTTTATCTATGCTCTCCCGTGAAATCAAATTTTCCCGAACCCCGAATCCCAGTTTCACTACTTACTTGCATCTTCTTTGCTTTCACTCGAGATCACGATGATTTCTGTGGGTTGTGCTGGATTATCAGGCACCTTAGATGTGCTTGGCCTTGCCTCTTCCTCCTTTGTCTCTAATTCTGTCTCAGTATCGTATTCCTCAATTGCTCGAAAACATCCCGGAAAGAATGGACGTGGGATGAGGATGTTCGCTACAAAGAATAATTTTTTTACCAAGGGATCCTTTTTCCTTTTTTTAAGAGGTTATGACATAGGAAAAAATATTCACCAAATTGATTATACAAATAATACACTGTTTTCCCATCAACATCGTAGTTGAACAGCACATAGCCCTCGTTATCCACAACCTTCTTTAAACCTCCCATTTCGATATCAATTTTTCAAAAAGATGAGGAAATTTCGATGTTCTCGCAAAGAGTTTTTACTCAATGATAAAAAAAAAATGAACGTGAAAATATCAAATGAAACTCGGAAAAACAATTGAACCACCACTGGCCATAGAAGTGGAGGCAAACAAGTAGATTTAAAAGTAGAAAAATTGCGTGAAAAATATCATTCACTTGAGATAAATCGTTTTCTCTATTGCTATGTGATATTATTCTTCATTCGATTTTTAAAATTCATCATACCAAGTGAGTAATGATGATTCATATTCTTGTCTTTTTTCAGGTCCTGAAAATCAGGGAAAGGTACTTTACCACGTGAGAAAATTTTTAATAAAAAACCCTAAAGAATTCTGTAGTGTTTTTTATATAACTTCTATTGAATTAAATTGAAATTAAATAGAAGCTCCATGGAAAATCAATAGAAATTCCTGTAGAATTCTTTAGGGTTTTCTATCAAAAATTTTCGTACATGACTCATTTTGTTTGCATGAAAAAGTCGGGAAAAATTCTTTAAAAAACTTAGAGAACTCACAGAACTCAAGACAATTGTATTCCATTTCTACAGGACTTCTTGTAAGTTAATGTAATATCATATAGAAAGTGAATTCAATTCAATTTATCTATACAATTCATTATATTGAAATATGTTACTTAGAATTTGCTCCACTCATTTTTTTTGTTCGATTTTATTGAAGCAAAGAAAAGAGAAATCGAATGGAAAAAACTTAAAAAATTCAAGCAGAGAAACTTTCATAGAAATATTCCAATAGAAGTATTTATATAAAGAAATGGAATCTATAGACTTCCTTTACAAAACATTTTCTATCAGACCTGTCGATCGACATGCCGAAAAATGTATATAAAGTTCCATAGAAATCTAGCAGAATTGTTCAGCGAATTTGCTAGACCTTCCAGTTTCAAAGTACAATGCGAAGATGATATGATTTTACTTTCAATTTTCCATTTCTGATGCATATTTCATTTTTTATTGGTTCATTATTTTTAATTATTTAAACGGTTGTACTGTATCACGTAACATGTTTTTTCTCATCTTATCTTATTTCCAAATGAGTTTCCTCAACCAATAATAGTCTCAACATATGCATATAACTGCAATGCAGAATACATGGAAGGACTATAAAAGGGTGAATCACCTTGTAAAATGATGGACTGAATTGCATAAACTTACCTGTAGATTTACATTCAAATAATCCAAGAATTTCAAATGTGTTTCAACGACCACAAATCACATCACTCTACTCCAATCTAGATCGGCAGTACTACGCAACACTTGATATATACGGATGGATGGAGAAGTATATACAAATAAAAATTAATGAATTACATTAATTGCATTTGGTTTTTTTTCGCTGAATTACTGTTATCGAGTTATAAATCAATTTTCAATCATTAACAGTAATCTTAACCTGTCATTCCATTTTGACAGGGAAACAACAACAATAATTAGCGCCTTACACCATCTCGTGGATGCATACGTAATTGCTTCTCACATTTTCGACCAAAAAACGCTCCGTCTCACGAACCAACTCTCACTTCTCACTTCTCACTCCGTCTCACTCGCCCACCTCGATCGGAATCGGGCTCCAGGACATTCAAAAATTGGTGCTCGAGAAAAAAGTCAAATTGAAGTATCTTGGTGAGGGGACGGAGTTTGAATTCATTAGGATTTAAGGTATTCATCGGAAACGGGAGGACCATCCATATCATTGAATGAGTCATTAAGATTTTGTGAGCGATTTTTGTATTATGAAACTAACAATAAAGTTATGAAATCATAAAATTTCAATGTATTCACTCTTTCTTGTGTTTCCCTACATTTTCCATAACAAATATTCAATTAAAAAATTAAATATATATGGCTAATTGATGAAGTTCAATAGAATTAGAGCTTTAAAAGTGAAAAGAAAAAAGTTTACGTAGGAGAATCGAACTGGAACTCCAGGATGCACTGGCTACCACTGAGCCATCCTAGAAGATATTTTCTGACATCAATCTATCCTCCTTTATGCTTGTTTTTTCAAGAAACTGGAATTCGTTTATTCCTTTTCCCCTTTCTTGCGTGTGTTGCTGATGGTAAAGCAGAATCTTTTTTTCTACCAACATCTGTTCATGATCATCGATCAACACCCTGTTTTACCGACGGTGGATGTTGTCTAAATTGGAGTTATTTCCTTTAAGAGGCAGTGGAACTTACCATCTGAGTAGAAATTGGATTCCAATTTTTTTCCGTCGCAAGACAATCATTTAGCAAAATCCAAATTCTTACATCATTCATAATCCTGATATCTACAGTGTAAGAATTTGGATTTTAGAAAATAATCGTCTCACGCTGAAAAAAGTTGGAATCCAATTTTTACTGAGATGGTGAGTTCTATCACCTTTTAAACAAATTGTAGGAAATAACATTGGGAAGAATGGAGAATTTTGAAGGAATTAATATGGAATGAATGGAGAAAATTATTGATTTATTATGTTTTTATTCCATATAATAGGGAAACTTCATACAAGGATGAATGGTGAAATTTATGATATATATTGACGCAAAAAAAAAGATATCTGAATAATTTCTTCAACAAAAAATATGATGGGATATAAAAATGTTGAATGAATATTTTCACTTTTTTTTCACTCTAATGGTAGATGGTCCACTCCCTCAGCCTCTTCACCTCCCGCCTCACTCTTCCAGTAGATGAGTTCCTGCTCCAAATGACCTCTCTGACCTCTAGAACATGAAAAAATTTCATGGAAATTAGTTTTTTCATCGGAAATCTTGCAAATTATGTTTTTTTTCATTCCTTTTTTTTTAGAGAACTATCAGAGATTGAATTTTTCTTACCTCTATAGACTTCATCATCCTCATCAGAGAAGTCATCAATCTCAGAATCCTTCTCTCTGTGTCCATCCTCTCCTCCAGAAGCCACCAGTGCCCCAGCAGCAGCGTGAATCACCGCCGAAACTCCAGCACCTCGACTTGTTTCCCCCTCCTGATTCTCCTCCTTCTGTACCATTATGGGTTCGAGCTCTTGGGGCCGTTGACTTTCGTTATCCNAATCCTGATATCTACAGTGTAAGAATTTGGATTTTAGAAAATAATCGTCTCACGCTGAAAAAAGTTGGAATCCAATTTTTACTGAGATGGTGAGTTCTATCACCTTTTAAACAAATTGTAGG